TAGTAAATCTTTACAGATTAGAATTAAAAATAACTACTTACAAACTGACATAGATTTAATGCAACCCTAACCGAAATTACAGTAAGTTTTATGACTTGTTTTATATTTTATGGCATTTCACAAGATTGCTTAAGAAAACATATGAGAAGGCAAGATTTGAAAATAGCCTAAAAACTTCAAGAAGTAAACAAAATGGGAAAGGTTAGAGGATCTATTTTATTAGATGTGAAGAGTTATCATGAAGCTACAATAGTAGTTAAGACAGTATAGAATTAGACCAGAGTACATGACAGAAAACAAAACCTGAAATACTTATTTATTTACAATCCTGCATTAAAAATATATATATATAGGGCTGGGAAGGTGGCTCAGTGGTAGAGTGCTTTTGCCTTGCATGTATGAGGCCCTGAGTTCCATTCCTCCGCACCACATAAGCAGAATAAAGCTGGTAGTGGTGCAGTGGCTCAAATGGTACAGTGCTAGCCTTGAGCTGAAGAGCTGAGGGACAGTGCCCAGGCCCAGAGTTCAGGCCCCGAGACTGACAAAAAAACAAAACAAAACAAAACACACACAAACACATGCATATATAATTAATGCATGACAAAAATACAAACAATGGTGAAAGGTTGGATTTTTGAATAAATGATGCTGGCCAACTGTGTCAATTGTGCAAAATGCCAAATTGATCTTTGATACCTCATATAATACACAAAAATCAACTTCAGGTAGAAATTAGTCCTATATAAAAGGTAAAACTATCAAGTTTTTATAAGAGAAGATAATAGAATACCTCTGATTTTGGAGGCTAAGAAAAATATTTTAAACAGGACACAACATCTGATTTGTTTAGTAAGTTTAGCTACATTAAAATTGAGAGCTTCTGTTGCTAAAAGGTTAACCACACAAAAAAAAGAATCAGAAGATATTCTATAAAACAAAAGATTGTATTATTTGAAATCGTTCTGATACAGGATTGTTACCTATACATATATAGGAATCAAATAAATAAACTCAATTAAAAAAAAAGTAAAGATTTAAAACCACCAGATGGATAAAAATAAAAGTGTACCAAAGCCAGGTATTGTTAAGATTACAAGCAAGGAAATGTATACAATACTGGTGGACATGACAGCTAGTGGGACCATTGTGTCACTTTTATTGTTTGCTTTTTTGTCAGTATTAGTGTTTGAATTAAGGGGTTTGTACTTGTTAGGCAATAGAGCCATGCCCAGCAAAAGAACATTTTGGAATGTAATTTCACATTAACTAGTGTGAAAACATTCACATTCAAAGGTCTAGCAAGTTACCAAGGGAATATACTCTAGAGAAATGAATGTACACACACACCAGAAAACATTATGAATGACAAATGATATAAAACAGAATACTATCAACAATAGAAAAGAATAAGAGGTACAACATGGATGAATTTTTTTTTGGTTGGTCATGGGGCTTGAACTCTAGGCTTGAGCACTGTCCCATAGCTCTTCAGCTCAAGGTGAGCACTCTACCACTTGAGCCACAGTGCCACTTCTGGTTTTCTGATGGTTTCTTGGAGATAAGAGTCTCACAGATTTTCCTGCCTGGGCTGGCTTTGATCTATGATCCTCCAATCTCAACTCCTGAGTAGCTAGGATTATAGGTGTGAGCCACAGGCACCCCACTTTCTTTTCTTTTTTATTTTTATTTTTTGTCGGTCGTGGGGCTTGAACTCTGGGCCTGGGCGCTGTCCCTCAGCTCTTCAGCTCAAGGCGAGCGCTCTACCACTTGAGCTACAGCGCCACTTCCGGTTTTCTGGTTTATTGGAGATAGGAGTCTCACGGTCTCTCTTGCCTGGGCTGGCTTTGAACCGCGATCCTCAGATCTCAGCCTCCTCAGTAGCTAGGATTACAGGCGTGAGCCACCAGCACCCGGCTTCTTTTCTTTTTAAACAAGGTCTTACTATATAGTCTAGACTGGCCCTAAATTCACTACCTTCCAGTTTCTACCTCCTGAGTGTTGGGACAGCATAGCCAGCCTTGGATGAATCTTTTTTTTTCTTTTTTTCTTGTCAGTTGTGGGACTTGAACTTTGGGCCTGGGCCCTGTTCCTGAGCTCTTCAGCTCAAGCTATACCACTTGAGCCACAACACCACTTCCTGTCTTCTGGTGGTTAACTGGAGATAAGAGTCTCATGGACTTTCCTGCCCAGGCTGGCTTTGAACCATGATCCTCAGATCTCAGCCTACTGAGTAGCTAGGATTACAGGCGTGAGTCACCATCACCTGGCTAGGATGAATCTTATGAAGAAAATATTGAGTAAGACATAAAATAATAAATTTGAAATGATTTCACTTATATCAAGTTCAAAACCAGACAAAACTAAGTCATAATAAGACAAAACTGGATGGCAAAACAATGGAGAAGGGGCTGGGAAGGTGGCTCAGTGGTAGAGCGCTTGTCTTGCATGCTCGAGGCCCTGGGTTCGATTCCTCAGCACCACATACGCAAAAAGAAAAAAGCCAGAAGTGGTGCTGTGGCTCAAGTGGTAGAGTGCTAGCCTTGAGCTGAAGAGCCGAGGGACAGTGCCCAGGCCCAGAGTTCAGGCCCCACGACCGGACCCCCCCCCAAAAAAATGGAGAAAACAAGAAAAAAATACTACAAAAAGCAGAATACTGTTAGTTTTGGATGGAAAGAGAGGGTTTGGATCAATGAGGAGCATATGGCAAAGGACTTTTTGGATGCCAGAAGTATTCTATTTTTGACTTGGGTGGAAGTTACACAGAAGTTAGTTACTCCAGAACTTAGTTACTATATATTTATGGCTGATGCAATTTTCTACATTTGGATTATATTTCACAATTTTAATAGTTGAAAGAAAATGTGCTGATGCCTCTAGCACATAATATATGGTAGATAAAGATTTTTTCATGAAGAAAATCGCAAGGGACTTGTTATATCCTTTGAAAAGCCACCTTCTTCCATGATGTATCCCAGATAATTGACTTACCCAGTGGTGACAGCATATTTGATGTGGTTGCTTGTGGTATAGATAAATACCCCACTCTCATCCCAGGCCCCACTCTTGACACGAATGTTCTCATGAATATTACACAGAGCGTCCAGTTTGCGGTTACAGATCACAATGGCTGTAAGAGGCAAAGGGCATGAGTGTTCTGTTGGATAGGGTGAGTGCAGTAGACTGGAAGGGAGGATAGGGGAGACAGTGGGCTCTAAATCAGGGTGGATATAACAAAGACTTACCATGTTTAGCTAGTAGTGCTACATGAGACATGTCTGCTGACCAGATGACGTATTTCACCTTAGATATATTCACAGATGCCAGAGTCCTGAGATACAGAGAGAAGGGCAAACATGAACGGACTTGACTCCCTTGTCTCAAGCTATGACCTATGTCCCTTTTCTTCTCTAACTTTGCAACGTTAATACCAAATAAATATTCCTGTGTATTAACTCAGTTACTTAAAATATTTTGGCTCACATTTTTTTTTTTTTTGCTAATCCTAGGGCTTAAACTCAGGGCCTGGGCACTGTCCCTGAGCTTCTTTTGCTCAAGGCTAGCACTCTACCACTTACTCCACAGCACCAGTTCCAGCTTTTTCTATTTATGTAGTACTGAGGAATCGAACCCAGGGCTTCATGCATGCTAGGCAAGCACTCTACCACTAAGCCACATTCCCAAGCCTTGGCTCACATTATGCATTCTCCGTTCCTTCAAACCCTTGTACACACACACACACACACACACACACACACACACACACACACACACACACACACACACACACACTTTTGTTTGTTTGTTGGTTGGTTGGTTGTGGGGCTTGAACTCTGGGGCTGGCCGCTGTTCCTCAGCTTTTCAGCTCAAGGTGAGTGAGTGCTCTATCACTTAAGCCAAAGTGCCACTTTTGGTTTTCTGGTGGTTTACTGGAGATAAGAGTCTCATGGACTTCTCTGCCTGGGCTGGCTTTGAACCGTGATCCTCAGATCTCAGCCTCTTGAGTTGCTAGGATTACAGGCGTGAGCCACCAGTGCCCAGCTACATACATTTTTTTTTTTAAAAGCAAAGTCAATTAGGTTTTATTTCAATGAAGAATATAAAATAAGTGCAATGTAATTTATCTTAGCTTTTAACAGTCATTTCAAGAAGGACAACTTAAAAACAGAAACACTCTCAAGTGACAGTCTGACCTGCAGCCCTCAAGGTGGGCCCTGCTGAGGTGTATGTAGTTGTCTTCAAGCATACAAATTGTAGCAGAATGTGGAAAGCTAAATGTATCTCTAATCATACAAAGAGCAAACCCTCATATTTTTAGGAACTTTCATATATCTGTTTTTATCACCAAACTGTAAGATCATTTAAGTGTAAGAACTGTGCTATTCATCTGTGTACCTCACTGTAAAGTCCTACAGCATTCTTTTTTCATGTAAGTATTACAAAAATATAGTCCGCCACAAGTAGCTCACACATATAATCCTAGCTACTCAGGAGGCTGAGATCTAAGGACTGTGGTTGAAAGCCATCCTTGGCAGGTAAGAGTCTGTCAGAATCTTATCTCCAAGTAATCAAAAAGCTGAGAGTAGAACTGTGGCTCAAGTAGTAGGCTAGTAGCTGTGAGCAAAAAAGCTCAGGGACGGTGCAAACCAACCAACACACACACACACGCACGCACGCACGCACGCACGCACGCGTGCGCGCAGTAGAGAATACTAAAGAGAAAAATACGCATAATGGAAAATTCCTGTAAGGGCAAAAAGCTCCTACTAAATAAACATACCCACTCTCCTTCAATATATGCTCCTAATAAAAGCACCTATCACATTACCGTTTCTGTTGTACATCAAAGAGTGTGATAGAATCTGCATCTCGAAGCAGGAGGTTGCCGGTGCCAGCATAGAAGATCTCATCACAGTTGGGCACCTGCACTTTTTTGGTGATCTCATTCTTCAGATTCTTTATCAGAAGCTGAAATGAACACAAAAGATGAGGTTAAGAGAAGCATATATGCAGGTTATGACTTCACTTTTTTCCCCATTGGATCGACCATGTCGATCTCCTAGGATGTTTGTCAGTTTGTGCTGATGCACAAACTCCCCCGCTGGGGCGGGGGGGAGGGGGTGCGCTTGCTGATGACAACCTGACTTAGAATGAATGGGGCAGCATGGATTGCAGGAGTGGGGAAGTGAAAAGATGGGTGCAGTTCCCCAGGTGCCAGTGTTGTATGATCCTTTGCCTTGCTTCAGTGTTCTGTGACAGATAAGGTATTTCTCAGCTAAGACCTTGGAAGAAATCAGCTGTTCTGAGCTAACCACACACAAGTGTTTACTTCAGTGAGAACTCAAAGGGCTGTGGCAGTTTTATTTATTCAAGAATGCCGTTTCTCTCCTGATTCATGATCTGTATTTTGCTACTGGAGATAAAAATGAAATTGTGCAAAAAAAAAAAAAGAGAGAGAAGCATATATATATATATATATATGATGATGATGATGATAGCCACTGACACTGTCTCTTACCAATTGTTCTTGAGCTTCAATAGGTGAATTTCTTTTTCCTCTATCCAAGTTACTCACACATTAGGTAGATCATTCAAAGATCCCTTTGAGGGTAAGACCTAGTTTTTGTTTTTTGTTTTGTTTTTGATTGGTCGTGGAGCTTGAACTCTGGGCCTGGGAGCTGTCCCTGAGCTCTTCAGCTCCAGAGGAGTGCTCTACCACTTGAGCCACAGTGCCACTTCCAGTTTTCTGGTGGTTTATTGGTGATAAGAGTTTCACAGACTTTCCTGCCTGGGCTGGCTTTGAACCGTGATCCTCAGATCTCAGCCTCCTGAGTAGCTAGGATTACAGGCATGAGCCACCAACGCCCAGCATTTTTTTTTTAAGACAAAAAAAGTAAAAAAAAAAAGCCACAAAAAAATCATCCTATGAAATCCAATTAAGAGTCTGAGTTTCTTTTTTTTTTTGTCGGTCGTGGGGCTTGAACTCTGGGCCTGGGCGCTGTCCCTCAGCTCTTCAGCTCAAGGCGAGCGCTCTACCACTTGAGCTACAGCGCCACTTCCGGTTTTCTGGTGGTTTATTGGAGATAGGAGTCTCACGGTCTTTCCTGCCCGGGCTGGCTTTGAACCGCGATCCTCAGATCTCAGCCTCCTGAGTAGCTAGGATTATAGGCGTGAGCCACCAGCGCCCGGCTTGAGTCTGAGTTTCTTAATCAAAGGGAAAAAAACCCCCACCATTTCCTGACCTTAAATTTTGTTACCTATTTTCTTGTGAGAGTTTTGCTTATCTTTAATATGTTCCACTTATTTTTATTATATTTCATATACCATGGAGGGAGTAGGACAAGGAAGGAGATCCACTGCTTGAAATCTGATGCTGTTTTTGGCTCTTATAGTTGAGAGATTTTAGCTTGGATGTTAAGTCCTGGGCTACACTGATTAGCAACCCAATCAAATCAACTGTAAAGTCATTTCCCCAGGGAGACTGGTATAGCTACGGATAGAGGAAGAGCTAATACATGAGGACCACGGCTTCCTTGGGGAGAGTAGGTAAAAAAAAACAGTGCTCATTATTCTGCAAACACAGACCACTGCCACCACAATCACTCTTCAAACTGGTTTTCATTTTTAGTTTTAACTCACCGAATGCATCCGATCCAGGACAGCAAATCGATTCCTAGCAACCCAAACGGCTGTCAGGCCTGAGGATCGTTTCCCTTCAGGGGCTGAGGAGAACAAAACCAAAGGGCGGGAGCATGTGGTGAGCCACTGGCAGGTGACAGAGTCAGGTGCCATGGAGCTGCCAGTCTTGTTGGCTGCCATTTTGGCTTTGCCATCAGCTGCTTTCTAACTAATTCAGCTATAACCTGAGGCTATTGTTCAGTGACTTTTCCCCACCAGGCCCCTCCAAACTCCAACCCCACCCCTGCCAAGTCTCTTTTCTCTAGGCCAAGTGGCTACATTTCAGCCAACACCAAGTACTGGCAGAAGGGCTGCCCATCTTGGGAGACAGCACACTCCATCAAGCTAACGAGCAAGGCCTCCCTGGCCAAGCTGGGGCCCAGCAAGCAGCCTGTCAATGTTGTAGGACCTCCTATCTAAACAAGCTGGAGAGAGACAGAGCCCCCTCTCCAGGACGCAGCTGCTCAGCTGCATTTAACATGCAAATGCAGGCTTCCTAGTAGGGTAGGGTGGGTCAGAGCACTCCCAACTAAATCTTGACAGGCCATTGAGATACTGGGCAGAACTTATCACCAAGCTGTTGCTCTCTAAATGTCAACCTACCATTATTACTCTGAAGGGAAATTATAAACTGTTTCTCAATTCCACAGCTGATTAGAATTTCGGAGAGGAAACTATTCTCTGAGAAGCTTGTAAAGGACTCACTGATATATTCTTTTATCTATGGTACAAGCCCCAGAACATAATGGCCAGACTTGCCTTGTTAGTTTTTAGACACCTGCAGTGTCAGGTAACTTACAAACCATACTTCCATTTTCAGATGCCACAGAACCATACTACTCTAGCTTCTGCTTTCTTTTCCTCCTTCTATCATTAGGCTTTAGTTATTATCCCCATCAAAGAAAAGTGTATCAGAAAAGACATGAGTTTTAAATAAGGATACAAAGTAGGAAGAAAGAAATAATAAGATTTAGTTAGAAATGGCGTAATTTATAAAGACTTTGATTTATGACTATCACATACATATGGGTTTTCTCTTTCATATGATCACATTCAAAAGAAAGTGACTCAATCTGGGCATGGTGGTAGATGCATTTAAGCAAGCACCTAGGAGGTAGGAGAATCCTGAGTCTCTAACAAGACACTAATAAGGAGCAGAGAGGGAAAGGAAGGGAAAGAGGAGGGCAGGGAACAAAACAAAAAGGAAGGAGGAAAGAAAAAAAAAAGACAAAAGGAATAGCATGAGAAGTATTAACAATAATGAATGGGAGAGAGGGAGAGAGAGAGAAAGGGAGAGAGCTAACAAAATAATTCCTGGTACTACGTAGAGGGGCTCTAAAATATCAAAATATAGTAAAAGGGGCCTTGTGGGTTAAGCCTCTGACTTGGTATATCTATAGACTACTGCAGAAAGTGCATTGAGAGGAGAGGAGCTGAAGCAAGAGTTATAGTGACTCTGAGAATGTGCTGTCAGCAAGTTCTAATAGTAAGAACATCACCAAGCCATGGTGGTGATGGAAGAGGTAGGAGGGGTCTCAGCTGGATCCTGGGATCCCAGGTGGGGTATGGAGCTGTTAGCAGCCTCATCTTTTTGACATGCAAAAGGAAGCAAATCGGATCTGGATATGGATGAGAGAGCATAAATCCCTAGTCCCAGGATGAGACATTGCAAGATTGGAACTACATTTTTAAATAAATGAAACTACCAGGGTGAAAGTCATATCAACTAACAATAAACTAGGGTAACATGCTGTGCTGAAAGAGAAAATGGAGAGTTTCTAATAACCAAATTATAAAATATATATATCTAGCTGGGGTAATAAAATGGAGGCAGAACATGAATATTTCACATCATGGTTGCCTCTGATGCAACTGTCAGCAATACCTGCCAAAATATGTGAGTGATGTGGCCATGGTTTGGGATGGAATGTGAACTACTTGAAAAGAAGTGACGATAATGGTGAGGAGAGCTGGAAGCAGAGTGAGGCAGACAAAGAGAATACCTACCATCAGGATTCTGGGAGTCGGCATCTTTGGGGATGGTATACAGATCATAGGTACTATTCTCTAAATTGCTAGCTCTCTGTAGAGGAAAATGGGAAATTAAAATGTTAATGAGAGGCACCCAAGATACCAGTTTATTCTGATAAGAGAAAACAGTTCCACTCCACAGACAATATGAGAATATACTTTTGTCACCCTTTACCCACAGGATATTTGAATGTTACATATAAGAGTTAGTTGTAGGGCTCTTAAATAACTCAGCTTTGATGTTATTTTATTTTCTTTATCCTCTGAAGATCCAAAATAAAATCAAGGGGCTGGGAAGGTGGCTCAGTGGTAGAGTAATTGCCTTGCATGCATGAGGCCCTGGGTTCGATTTCTCAGCACCACATAAGCAGAGAAAAAAAGAAAAAAGCTCAAGTGGCACTGTGGCTCAAGTGGTAGAGCGATAGCCTTGAGCTGAAGAGCTGAGGGACAGCGCCCAGGCCCACAGTTCAGGCTCCATGACCGGACCCCCTCCCCCCCAAAAATGAAATCAAGTATTGTTGTCTAATCCATGAATTAAAAGATTAAGGGGCCTGGGAAGGTGGCTCAGTGGTAGAACGCTTGCTTTGCATTCATGAGGCCCTGGGTTCGATTCCTCAGCACCACATAAGCAAAAAGAAAAAAGCTGGAAGTGGCGCTGTGGCTCAAGTGGTAGAGCGCTAGCCTTGAGCTGAAGAGCTGAGGGACAGTGCCCAGGCCCAGAGTTCAGGCTCCACGAACGGACCCCTCCCCACCCCCCCAAAAAAAAAGACTTAAGGAGCTGATATTCTGGTGTTCCATCTGAGTATACTTGTTATATCAAAAGTCTTTTTGAAAGAAAAAAAATACACCAAAGAAAAGATATTAAAGAAAATTGCCAAGAGAATATGAGACTGTGAGATATTAGAGAAGGACTAAAATTAGATATTAGAAGTTATATGGAAGAGAGTTTTCAATTCAGCAAGGTGGCTTAATTAAGCTCATAATCTTAGATATATGGGAAGCAGAGATAGGGGACTACAGCTTGAGGCCAGTGTAGGCGAAAAGTAAAACCCTACCTCAAAAATAACCAAAAAGGAAGCTAGGTGACAGGGATTCATACTTGTAATCCTAGCTACTCAGGAGACTGAGATGTGAGGATTGCAGCCAATTTGGGTAGATAAATTTCAGTTCTAATCTCCAATTAACCAGCAAAAAGCCAGACGAAAAGATGTGGTTCTAGTGGTAGAGTACCAGCCTTGTGTGAAAAGGACAGAGCTCAGAGCTCAAGCCCCAGTACTGGCACACAAAAAAAGAGGGAGAGGTGTTGAGGTGTGACTCAACTGGTAGAGTGTCTAGCCTAGCAGTCACAAGGGCCTGAATTCAATTGTACTCATCACATGACTTAT